GACACAGTTGCAAACATTAATTCTGTGTCCGAAGTACTCGTTGGTGATTTTTTTTTGGTATTTTCCCCATGTTCCTCATCCTTTTTCGATAAGGAACAAAGTCGTCGTTTCCAAGAATTAAACATTTTAAGCCGCATTTCATAGGTCAGTTTCGTACACCTGACATCCAAAAGTTTCCCAACTTTCCCAACTCATTTTGTGCAAAAAAAAAAATATTTTTGTGAGAGCACGACCTAAATATGTCACGCGCGTCAGGTTTCGCAATTGTTGAGGGTGGTGCGTCAGGAGACTCTGGAAAGCTGAGATTTGTGTTTCTGGTTAATTTTTGAATATAATTGTTTACGTTGGACTCAATTCTATCAAAAATCATATTAATTGCATTCATAAATTATATTGGTATTTTTTAGGGGTCATTTTAGGTGTGCAAAGTTACTTAACGGTATGGTACATTTGCGGGTCAATTTTCTTTCGGACCCATATTTCAAAATTTTAAAATGGAATAAATTGAAACTTTGTTCGACTTGAATTATAGTTCAAAATCGTTTACAAGATTTATAATTTCGCGCCATAGTTTATATATATGGGCAATTAGCTACTGTGGCTATGCAAAATTATAACTCTCTGTCATATGGCGACATCAAATATCCGTGGGGACATTTACTGGTATGAATAAACTCAGGCAAAAGCTCCGGGGAAAGGGGAAAAGGGAAAGGCTATTGCCTGCGGCAAAGGCTCAAGGTAAAGGCAAATGCCCCACGTGGTATGAATAACCTTTTGCCTTTGCCTTAGCCTTTTCTCGAGGGGAAAGGCATTTGCCAAGATCTTTTCTCTGGGGTAAAGGGCTATTCCCTCTATTTGAGCTGTTTTGGTTCAAGTTCATCCCCAAGGAAGTATTTTTATTTTCATTAATTAAAATACTTGTTGGGCGACTCAGGGCTTATACAATCCTAGAAGTGCAATAAATATGTATTGTGAGGACAATTTACACCAGATTTTTTTTGTGTGTATTATGTGAAAATAGAGGTTATAACCAAATTGAGGTAGTAGTAAATTGACGGTAGTCATATTTACCGATATGATTGGCGATTTTGCATGAAAATTACAGAGGTGAAATTTAAAATTGGCCTGAAAATCCTAAATCTTCATGTAAATAAATAGGGAAAACCTATTTATATATAAACTATAAACTTTCCCTATTTATATATAAACTATATAAATAGGGAAAACTCTATCAATTTTGGATCTCTGGCTTTGAAGTAACAAGACTATAGAAATCTCAGAAACCATTGGGATGAATTGACAAAAGTTTCAATGGGCGCCACCACTCGCCACCGGCTGTCCCGGTTGATCTTTTTCGATCATAGCCTACTTCTGGCCTTGCTGTATTCGAAAGTGACCCGACATCGTCCACCTTTTTGACGTTTGAAAATTTACGGAGTCATATAGTGCATCAGATTGTACGACCTTTTTTTGAAAGGATTTGTTAAACCGGTGAAAGTATAATTTGCTAAATAAAACCAACACCGGCATCATAAATGTAACCACAGGTGGAGGCTCCTATCAACTTTTGGGGTCAATCGGGCCACCCCCTTTGGCGCCAAGGGGTGTGGTCTGGGTAAAATGAGATTCTTAGTGCAATTTAATCCATAGATGAAATAGGGTAAAATTAAGTGTTAGTTGTGCCACGCCCCTTGCTCGTGGGGGTGTGGTCTGGGGGAAAATGAGATTTTCACTGAAATTGAATCTATCGATGAAATACAGTGAAATAGAGTGTTCCTACGATGGGAGTGGTTGGGGTAAAATGAGTTTGAAGCTACTTCTGTATGCGCGTTTGCGACGATTTATTTACTGTGAGGGGGGACGTGAAGGTCGACGATTTAAGTTGAATTATTTTTATTCAAGTATGCCTTATGTATACTCAGTCGCTGGACTTTCTCAGCAAAGTCAGGTGGTAGCAGGAAATTATTTTAAAACAGCACCCTCTATTGTAGAGGAGTCTAAATTAAAGACATTTCTTGTTACGAAGTTTAACGGCCGATGGTGGCATGCTTAACAACATTGACAGTTGAAATTACTCGGATAACTTTTCAAATTGTTGACCGATTTTCAAATGTGTGGAGGTTTTCGAAACCTTAGATCGATTAGCGAACCAAATATTTCCAGATTCTTATAAAATTCGTCCACACCGCCTTGAAATTAGTCACAAAGTCAAAGAAATTATAAAATATAATTAATGAATATCGCTAAATTTCAAAAACTAAAAATCAAAGTTAATGTCGGAAAAATACCTCGACACCGTAGGCAATGTTCAGAACAGTTCAGCAATGTTAAGTTCTCACGCCACACCCCCAGTGGGTGTGGCCCTCGGCTAGTTTTAGATTTTAACGGAACCATGTCACGTGATGTTTCATTTTTCTCAGCTCGACAAGGGGGACTCGACGGAATACCTAAAATTGGGAGACCGCGCCCCCAGTGGGTGTGGTTCTCAGAAAATGTTCTACTTTAATAAAACAAAGCCATATGTTATATCATGTTTCTCAGCTCGGCCAGGGGATCTCGACAGAATAATTAAAACTTATAAACCACACCCCCGATGAGTGGGGCGTTCAGCCACTTAAAGGTGTTTTCCCCGATATTAAATTTCCCCACACCGAAATAGCACTACCCGTAATTTTGTGTTTTCATGAAGGGTCGTGTTTCCGGTTGTGTCGGTTTTGAGTGCATTTTCAGCTCAAATTTAAATTTGTCAAAAGGTTGTATTTTATAAGCTTAACGCTATAGCAAAAACGAAAGAACAAAAACATTTTTTCTCAAAAATTACTAAAAACAAAATTATAAACATACGTTATTAAAAGTTTGAAACTTTGTACTGTATTTCGGAATTTTGAAAAACGCAACAATAAATTGTGAAAAATTTAATTTTTGGGAGCGGGTTTTTCTTGTTCTTCGTAATGGAATTCTATTCATTCTGTCGAAATTTCCTCGTTGAGTTAAGAGAAATGATGTATTACATGACATGAGATAGTGTAGTGAAAATCTAAAAGTCGCTGAAAGCTGATTTTAGGTATTCCGTCGAAACACCCTTGACTAGCTGAGAAAAATGATGTAACACACGATATGGTCTCGAAATCGATAATTTGCTTAGAGCCACACCCACTGGGGATGTAGTTTCGAAATTGTAATGATTCTATCGACATCCCTTCGTCGCGCTGAGAAAAATGATATAACAAATGATATGGTTCCTTAAAAATATCCAATATATGGTTTCGCTAAAATCTAAGGTTCGCTTACGACCACACCCACGGGGAGTGTGGTTCGTAAAGTTTAAGCATTCAATCAAATTCCCCTCGTCGAGCTAAGAGAAATGATGTGTCACACGACATGGTTTCGCTAAAATCTAAGGTTCGCTTAGGACCACACCCACGGGGGGTGTGGTTCGTCAAGTTTAAGCGTCCAATCAAATTCCCCTCGTCGAACTGAGAAGAATGATATATCACATGACATGGTTTCGTTAAAATCGAAAAGTCGCCGAGGGCCACACCCACTGGGGGTGTGACATGTGACTATTAAAAATTTCCTCGTATAATGTATGCTTTAGGTTATTCTTGCACACGAAAATCTAATTCTTATTTCTTCAACTTCGGCTCATATATATTTTTGGCCACAATTTATTAAACCTGGTCCACTGTGCGCAGGGGTACCATACACTCAAAACAAAAATTTGACTCCGAGTGGTAATGCAATTTTTCCGTCCGGTCATAACACTATAAGTACCGGTATCAAAATCATAACTCGGAATCAACATTTTAACCAAGTAATTCATATATTGACACCGGGGGTATCGATTTGACAAATATTTCGCCCCATAGCGAGAAAAGTGAAGAGTGAAAAATATGCCTTCATTCACTTTCATTCATCCGAAAGGACGGAGTCTTTCATTCAATTGAATGGAAATTAACTTTCAGTCAGTATAATAATCAACCAAATGAATGAAAGTGAACAGGTAGAACTTTTTGGCGACGTAATTTATGAATGACCCCACGAGTTCGGTTTAACTAGAGAAATAACATGTTTCATGTAGTGTGTACGTGGGCATAGCCGTCGACATTTTTCCCACAGTTTAACTTACTACGTACATATTTATTTTGCAAACCTCGCGTCCTTGAGTGTGCCTTGCGCGTGTGTATTTATGTAAAAATCAAGTGGAATTTGCATATTACGATGAAAAACTTAAAAACATGTTCAAAATGTAGATATGTATGTATGTATGTATATGTACCTGTTCAAAAATGCATCCCGATTTCTTAGTGAAGAACTTTTTATTCACATTTTCCTTGAACTTCATTTCATCCGACTTCATTTCTCACAAACTTCGCCCCATAGCGTGAAGGCTGAAAAATCCTTGCATTCACACTCATTCATCCGAAACGACGAAATATTTCACTCATTTTCATTCAGATGACAAAAATCTCACTTTCGTTCAGTTTGAAATGAATGAATGCAAGTGAACAGGTATATTGGTATGATATGTACACTCTTAATAATCCGGTAAAATCACGCAGATAATGATTTTTCGGTAATAAATTTGGTAATAATGTTTTACCTGGTGGTAAAAATTCGTTACCATTACGGTAAAACTTTATTACCAAATTTATTACCACACGGTACAACTTATCATTACTATTTTGGTAGAGTCATATACTTGTGCTTTTCGGTAATGTTTATTACCAGACTATTTACAGTGTACGTAACATGCAGTAAATAAGGATATTAGTGTTGGGCTGGTATGGTACGATTCATTTCACCACTTTGCACCAATGGCCGCGGAAGCGTGGGGACAAAATGTTCCCACGGTTGTCCCCGTCATCCCCAAATTTGCAAACCCTTGCCTCTCCCTATCCTGCAATATTAGTGTCCCCCCATGTCGCCACGGCTTCCGCGGCCATTGCGCTGGCTAACTTTACATATATTTATATATTCATAACTACTAATTAATCGTGATTAGTCGTCCGTTGGGCTTGCACAGAGAAGAAGCATATTACATTACGCGGTCTTATTCAAAGCCACGCAGGTATTAAAGACTTTTTGACTTATCATGTACAGGGTGGTTTAAATGTTTCGGAAACTTAATATTATTTGACAAGGGACACTCACGACCTGTCGTTTGAGTCCAGGGTACTCATTGTGTTTTTTTTAGAATCTATCTACTAGGATCCCAGATGAAGGATTCATTCTTATTTCCGTGTAAAACTCATATTTGGCACCATGGAGTGGCGCCAAACTTCAAAATTTGCATTTTCGACCAATTTCAAACCCCCATAACCTTTGAATTGTATCTCGGATTTTCTAAATTTTATGCCTAAACTTATCACAAAAGTTTAATTTTTCAGAAAAATGCAAAAATAAAAATGTGCAATTTTTGAGATATTTTTAGCATTTTCCGACTAACCCCTATGTATTTCTAAGAAAATTTCGAAGTTTTGCGAATAGTTAAAAGCGATAATTTTGGAAAAACTTCGTGGGATAAGAAAGTTGAACCCCTTGTCTGGATTTTTGCCACAAATTTTGAAAATTTGTCCAGGACTTCAAAACTTTCAAACAAAAGGGCGGTTTCAGAAATAAAAACTTTCCAATTTGGCGAATTTGGCGCCACGGCACTAAGCCAAATATGAGTTTTACACAGAAATATGAATGAATCTTTCATCTGGGGTCCCCAGATGAATACTAGTAGTAGATTCTAAAAAACATAGTGGGTACCCTGGACACGAGCAGCAGCTGGGGACCTTACCTTGTTAGAATTGTAAGCAGAAATTACGTCTGCTTTTTCAAATTGGATAACAATCACAAAAGTTACGGTGCTTTACAAAATCCTGAGTTTTTTACAACATCGCACTTTACAAAATTCAAATATGTATTTGTATGACCCATAAGTTCAAATTAGACGTAAACCACCCACCCACTAAAATGATGACGTACTACATGGACTTTCCCCTACAGGATTATTTTCGTACCGTTTTGGGAATTTTATTGAAATTTCATGATATTTCAATAAAATCTCCATTTCTGTAAAATCCAGTAGATACATTTTTTTTGTATGATTAAAATTATGCAGGTAGTGAGCAACCCTGCCTAGAAAAAAATTCATTCAAAATTCATTAAATTTATAAACTTCACACTTACGGAAGGCCAGGCGAAGTAAAAATAGAAGGTCGACCAATTGGAGGAAGAAGTTTTGAAGCATTGACCATCAAATCCAAGGAGGCAAAAAATATCAACATGATCCTGGACGCTATTAACCAAGGGTAAATCAATACTTACAATGGAGGTCTCCCAACGTATGCTCATATATTTTGACCAAACTAGCGTCAATCGATCACAAATATAATTAATATGAAATTTGCAAATGGAACTACCTGCCAATGCGCAGGTTTTGCAAACATATATGCATTTAAAAGGGGGAACAACGCGCCCAAAGGCTGACAAATTTATATTTTCCTATTTTCCTGCCCATTTTCCCCGCATTGGATTCAAATACGTCATATCTTTGCAAAACCTGGGCATTGGCAGGCAGATAGTACCATTTTCAAATTTCATACCAATCATATTTGTGATCGGTTAACGCTAGTTTGGTCCAAATCTGTGAGCATACGTTGGGAGACCCCCATTGTTAGTAAATATCTTCATTCAACAACACACTGTCAAAAATGTGGTAATACCTGTTCAACAATTTAATTTTCCTTCAAAAAGTGTGTGTACAGGCGTTCCGATTTTGTATGGAACACTTTCATTCACGTGTGGGTGTGGTCATTTTCTCATAAATTAATTTAATTTCACTTCATCGGACTTCATTTCTTCCTTCGTCCCGTGTGCTAAGCATACACTGAGAAATAAAACGAGTGAAAAATCCCTGCATTCATCTGAAATGTCGGAAATTTTCATTCAAATTACAGGAAATTCAGTCTCATTTACAACTGTGAATAAGAAAATACCAATGTATGTAGCTTCAAATAGGTTCTATTGTTGGTAAAAATGCTTAAATTTTTTAAAATGGGTGACAGTATTTTTAAGAGTGTATTGTGACTCAAAAGTCTAATGTCTAGCGGATAACTCGTGGTTATCCGCTTCGATCTGATTATCCGGCCATTTAAAATAAGTTGGATCCGATCCGACTATATTGTATCGAATGGCTGGATAAAAATATCCGATTCGAACCGACCGATCGGATAAATATTCCCGGATTGGATAAACCAACCCTAATCGCCGATTAAATACATATTTATGTATGTTAAACACTTTACATACTTTTTGGCAAGCTTGATCTGGATTTATGGTTTGATTTTTAATATGAGAAACTTTTTACATGCAAAGCTTAAGGCGAGTAGTTTATTCTTTAAGAAAATTAAATCATATTACAATTTGCTTAGTAATTTGTTTTTACTCTTGGAAAACGTGACATAATTTTTAAGAGTGTGTCGTGAGTACGCCGATTAAATAAAGAGGGTATTCATTTCGAGTTAACAACGTTCTCAAAATAATAAAGTTCGCAAAAAACTGGACTTGAAAATTGATTCAAGGCTAGTATTTAGTTTGTAAAATATTTCTCATAAATTTTGCAATACGAAAAGTCCACAAATCTCTATTAGTTTGCCTATTGAATTTTTGAAATTTCTTATTTGGTAAATTTCAGCCGGAAAATTTCGGTAATGTAAATTTACGAATTTTTCCCACCGCAAAATTCAACACATTCGAATCAAATTTTCCCAACTTTGTCTAAACTTGGAAAAATTCGCAATTTCTCAAAAGTTCTGTTGCGATACGAACTCGAAATGACTACCCGTAATATTTACATATGTATGTTAAAAACTTTACATTATTCGACAGATTCGTCACCCTGGTCGTGTTCCTGTGGGACACTCTAATTCCAATTTTTCGTAAAATCCGGCTCTTCATCCTCCTCCCGTTTACCCCGATTTTGAAACCGTTCACGAAACACTTGTTCAGCTGTATCGACATAAGGCTCGACTCCGACGTGAAATCACGACCCGACATTTGCATCCTGGATGAGCGATTTTACGCCCGATTTTGGGCCGACCAAGAGATCGCTTTTGAAGAAATGTACGTGGAAGGGTGGTGGACGACGGAAAATATGACGGCTTTGTATGAAAAAATCTTGCCCTTTTTGAGCCGGTATCCATGGATAGTGAAGCTTAGCATTGCCCATTGGGAGGGGGTGTTTAGATGGGGCGTCTTGAACACGGGGCGGGAAGGGCACAACTTCAGCGCACCGCCGGAATATGACTTACGTAAGTTTATATCCATCAATACTTAGAATATGTAGGTGTGAGTGGCTGTGTTTGTCTGTCCAATTTAAACGTGTGCGCTGGAACTTGGTTTGGGGCAAAATGAGACTCAACTCAATGTTATTGTAAATTTGAAAACCTTAAGACCACCATCTTGACCTTCAATTATTGGGACATTATGAGATTATAGATTTTTGAATATTATGCGCCCTCAGTTGATGCTGTTATGCCGCTTATAACATCATCAATCAATACTAAGGATAGGCGTGAGTGACTGTGTTTGCTGTCCAATTTTAACGCGTGCGCTCGACCGATGTTTGAGCACGGGGCAAACTGAGACTCAACTTAATGTTCTAGCAAATTTAAATATATTAAGAGTACCATCTTGACTTTCAATTATTGAGACATTGTGAGATTTTTGCATATTCACACAGAATGCGCCCTCTATTGATGTTGTTATGTATGTATGTGGGATTCTACCAATTTATGTTGACTCAATTATTTAGCCGTGGAGTACTTCAAACTGATAACGGACAAGGAGCACATGCAACACTCGTCGGGTTACTATGCCCACGGAGCGACAAGCTATGCGGAGGCGCAGGTCGCAAAACTAAAGTTGATCGCGGCCAAACTCGACCTTAAAGCTGGGATGACCCTGCTCGATTTGGGCTGTGGGTTTGGCGGTCTCTCCAAATTCATGGCGGACAATTATGGCGTCACCGTCGTGGGAGTCACGGTTTGCGGGTCGATGGCCAAACAGTCAGCGAATCACTGCGTCGGGAGCAATGTAACCATCAAGGCGAAAGACTGGAGGCGCGTGGAGGGAAAATTTGACCGGATTACGGTCATTGAAATGTTGGAACATGTCGGGAAACATAATTATGACGAATTTTTTAGAAAAATCGAATCTCTCTTGAAGCCTGGTAAGTGCAAGGGGGTGTTGTTATTGAAACCCCATACCCAGGGGGGGATTTACCGGGTTTTGCGGGTATTCGGGGTAAACCTGACTCATGTCTTAAATTGCGACAAGCAATTTTTTTTTAATTTTACAAAAAGATCACTTATTAATTCAATTTTAATAACTTATTAAATTATGGAACTGTTAACAGAGCCGTGGTTTCATACTTATAAAATTTTAAAACCCCGACTACCCGTAGGTATTGCTAATTTGTGATATCCCAAAGACCCGGGGTTGCTTATCATACATTTGCTATTTATTTATGTAAAAGGGCAAAGTAATTTTTAAGAAATTACATTTCTCGCAAAATTTTTGCATTCCAGGTGGCAGGATTCTACTGCAACATTACTTTGTGAACCCGGGTGTTCCCAACTTTGTCGAATTTTTCTGTAAATACCAATTCGGCCAGGTGTACTTCCCCGACATGCACGAGTTTGTGAAGCCTTGTTGCCGCCACTTGCGCGTCGCCAACACGCAGGACATCACGTTAGACGCGGAAATCACGTATCAGCACTACATCGGCATGTTGGACGATAATCGGGACAAGATGGAGGGTATCGCGGGGCCCAAGGTTTGGCGGGCTTGTCGGATCACGTACGCCTCAGCGGGCGCCATGTTGACCACGAGGGACTTGCTGGTGTATCACACCATCCTCGTGCGAAAGGATGACCAGAGCAGGGTACCCTTGGCGCAGTGAGGAGCGCGTTTACTTTTCAAATATCCGGTCACACCTTTCGCCATAACCGTATTTAAAAAAAATGTATTAAGGCTTAATTTATAAAATCTATTTTCTTATGGTCTGTGCATTAATATTAGACTTATTTTGGGGTGTGTTTATATTGTGGAAAAAGGTCTAATTTTAAAATACAAACCATATATCCTTCTTTTTCAGCCCGGTCTCATTCTAATTATTCAAGTTGGAGGTAAAAATTCGAGTTCAAGTATACATATATGTAGGTACATCATATTTTCGAAATCCCCGCGTAGCTAGGTTAAATCCACATCAGTTTTAAAATGATTATTGCCTAACGTGTCTAATGTTGTATTCAGAAACGGGTAATTACACTTATAGTGAAGTATGTACTTATATATTTAGTTGAACTCTTTTTTTTTGTTAAATATGTAATTCTCTGATGTAAAATAAAATAAAAACGGATCTATTTGGTTGGTAATGGGCAATTATATGTAAACATGAAAATCCCAGAAAGTCTGATATACAAGGACAAATTTTGCGAAGGAAACAACTTCAGTCGCAATTCACCCCCACGACATCGCGGGAACATTCAGTTTCATTCCATTTCATGTATAGATTCAATTTAAGTAAAAATCCTATTTTTCACCATACCACATTCCCCCACGCCTAGGGGGATTGTTCAGAACGAAATAGTCCAAAATTTTCGGAAATAATTCCACGAGCACATTTTTAATGAAATGGAGAATTTCAGCTCTTTAGCTACATATCGAAATTTCGACACGTCGACATGGTTCCCTTACAATTTCACCTGCGACCGACTTTTTAGACCTCGCTGAAGCTAGATATCGATGTTTACTGCGATACGACACGTCAAATTTCACCCTTTTTGGACAATTTTGCCATGAATGTTCCCAATGTTCCCGGGGCTATAACTTTGAAAGGGGCAGAATCCATATCTCCATTTTTCTTGGAATAGGTGGATACCGTTGGGGACTACAATATACAATTAATAATCTTCAGACTATTGTACTTGCCCTTTAGGAGAAGCACGCCCCTAAAGTCGTCCCCTTTCGACTTTCGCCGAACTTCGCCATTGAATACCTTTTTTGTTTGTGAACGGATTTAGATGAAATTTTTACTGGAGATGTACAATCGCATGAGCTACAATTTTAAATGTGAGATTTTGCTCTAACCCTGCTAGGAACAAAACACGCCCAAAGTGGGCGTGGCTTTTCAATTTTTTATGGGTTTGGCCTTGGCCCTCAAGGGCTCGGAATAAGTACGCACAAATTTCATTAAAAATACATATGCTCGTGGAATTATTTCTGAAAAATTTGGATTATTTCGCTCTGTGGATTGGTCCGATTGGCGTCAAAATATTTTAATTAGCGTTGATAGGATCCTCCACCTGGGGTAATATGTACGATGCCGCAAACCGATTTCTATTATCTCGATCCGTTCCCCGTTATCTTGCTTATAGACAGACAAAGTCTTCTCAATATTAATAGCTTATCATGTTTAATCTTATTTGATGATTAGCCCAATGTGCAGAATTTTTCCTGTAGAGGCTACAGCAGATAAGCCAAGCCAGACCCGGGTGTAATTGGGGACCTTTACATTATTTTCATCGTAACAGTCACCCAAAAAATGTGGAAGCTGTCATAAAACTCTTCACTACCAATCCTTCAGGATCAAGTCCTGTGAATGCCCTGGAACTGAAAATTTCCAAAAGTTTATTGTCCAGCTTTAACTTTCATTTCTGAGGACTACAGAAAAAATTTAAAAAAGTCTCGGAAAAAACGTTCTCGGCCAAAAAAAAACAAAGTGCAACAAATTTTCAGAAAAAGTGTCAACAAACGTACTGAAAATCATCATCATTGGTGATGATACCTACGTCCTTAAAGACTTCGAAAAGCACACTTTTTCACTCGGGCAACCCTCCAGCTCCTCCAGATTGGACGGAAGGGGGTGTAGGAACCATTGAAAGCAAAAAATAATTAGCTTCAGCCCTTGTCTCTTTCCGATCAAAATCTCGTTTAAATAAGTTAGTTACTTTATTTTATGAGCGCGAATTTAAAAATTCCGGATACTTCTTAACCACCCTACCTCTTTATTCATATAAATAATTATATACTTATTATTTTGTTTATTTAGAACTGAAAATATAGAAAGTGATATATCTATATTAGAAAATATTCAAAATAAACAGATTATTTTTTTCTAAAAATTACTTAACCATCCATACCAGAATTTATTTCTATACTTATTGAAAGTCTAACTTACACCCTTCCATATGTCTATAATCTATGTATGTCGTCCTACTAATTCATTAAAGACCTACATACATATTTATGTAAGTGCAGTCGATGTTTAATCCAGAAAAGACCTAAGTGCCGTCGATGCTTAATTCGGAAAGGATCTAAGTGTATAAAAAAAGTAACAAAAGACCCATGTGCAAGCATATATTTACATACTTATGGCTAAATCCCGCGATATATGAAGAATCGTTTTGGCAAGATATATCCATAAGTAAATACATGGTTGGACATTTTTTACTATACTTTATTTCTATACACTTAGGTCTGCTCTGAATCGACGGCAGTTATGTAGGTCTTTTCTGCATTAAACATCGACTGCACTTATGTCCTTTATAAATTAGCACGACGATGTATTGCCACCATGTAGGGGTCACAATTTCTAAACAAATATGTTTGTATTACTAATCATTTAATTTTACCGAAAAGGTTGGGAGTATAGATCTAACAATGGAACCTTTTCTCGAGCTACACCGGATTATATAAAATGAGTTATATAAAAAAAATCAAGACAAAAATTAGGAATCACAAGGCGCTTATTATTCCGTTGAATCGCCCCTTTGAAGAAAACAGGTGGCGGTTAAGTTAAATTTTCTTTCCCTTTCCCTCCGCGAGGCGAAAACCAAGGCGCTCGTGGGCCACATTTGTTTTTTTCTTCAAAGGGGCCATTCAGCGGAATCAATCAGCGCCACGTGAGTATTAATTTTTGGGTTGATTTTTTGATATAACTCTTTCGACAATCCTGTATAGCTTGAAATAAGGTTGCATTGTAAGTAAATAAATTTAGCGGTTTTGCCGAAGGGGTATGCAATTCGTAATGATCTATCAAACAGTATTCTGTAAACCTCCACGTATGTAACTCGCGGAGGGTAATCGTTTCGATTTCGCAACGTTCGCAGAAAAATAAAGTTCGCAAAAATTTTTGGCTTGACAATTGATTTGCGACCTTCTACATCTCTAAGGCTAGTATTTAGTTCTCAAAGTATTTTTTACAAATTTTGCAATGGGAAAAGCCCATAAATCTCTATTAGTTACCGAAGTTTGGCCTTTTGAATTTTTGAAATTGGTGAATTTCAGATGCAAAATTTCGGTAACTGGGTAATGGTAATTAAAGTATTTTTCCCATTTTAAAATTCGAGAGATTTGTATATCTACATAATTTTCGAAACTGTCATTTGCGAAGTGGCTTTGCTTCGCAAAATTCGCAAAAGTTATTTTACGATGCGAACATGCAAAGTCGTAATGAATACCCTCTCGATGTACGACCAACCGAATTCGCTATTCCTCTGCCACAACAAACTCCAATCTTCCCATCATGCTGTTCCTAACGCACTTATCCATCATTTTAAGTTGACCGTACAGCGTGGCGTCGGTTATTTCCAAGTATTTCACAACCTCTTCGTCGTCCTTGTATTGGGCCATAATCTCTTCTCGCAAGACCAAGTGTTCCTCCACGTCTTGCCTAGAATGCGTAAGACAAGATGTATAAGTACAATTTTATCATATCCGGCGCCAACGTTTAACAAGTCATACATAAGTCACATGTTTTTGTATTTTCAGAGTTTGATTTTTTATGTAAATGTACCTACATATGTATAAGTCGTATTCGCAGAGTTTGTGTGAATAACTTAGAAACCAAGCAGAAAAATGTATCATGAAGTAAATATGTACGCATCGCAAAAACTTCCGTTTCGCAGGAGTCGTACAAAGGGTCCCTAAAGTTAGAAAAATCGTAGAAAATTCGCATAAAAATCGCCTAAAAATGGCAGAAAAATCGTAGAAAATTCGCATAAAAATCGCCTAAAAATGGCAGAAAAATCGCAAAAAATTGCAGAACAATTATAGACGTAGCAAAGTTTTGCATGACAACAGCGGTGCGCATTTTTCCCCGGTTGGCAAGCTAATTTTGTCCCAGTGGCCAGGGTAATTTCTAATAAATAAAGCTAATCTGAGAATTTTTCTACGAATTTTCTTGGATTTTTCTACGATTTTTGTGATACCATTTTCTCCACAGATTTAATTCTAACAATGGAGGTCTCCCAACGTATGCTCACAGATTTGGACCAACCTAGTGTCAATCGATCACAAATATGATAGGTGTGAAATTTGCAAATGGCACGATCTGCCAATGCGCAGGTTTGGCGGAGATATTTGCATCCAAAGCGGGAAAAATGCGCAGCAAATTTGGAAAATGAAAAATTTGCCTGCCTTTGGGGTGCATTTCTCCTCTGTTTATGCAAATACCTCCGCCAAACCTGCGCATTGGCAGATAGTTCCATTTGCAAATTTCATACTAATTATATTTGTGATCGATTGACACTAGTTTGGTCCAAATCTGTGTGCATACGTTGGGAGACCTCCATTGTTAGTGAATAACTCACCCATACTCTGCGAACAAAACTTATATTCGGATAAATAAATAAAAAATTGCAATCCATAAAAACTAAATATGTAAAGGGTGTCCCCTCCAAAACTATGAAAGAACCTCCTTACTCATGTAACCTTATCTCCCTCTCCAACACCTGCTCCAACGTGTTTCCCGCCGCCATCTGAGTAATGACATGGTTTATCTCACCATTCACCAAATCCCTCTCCAATCCGACCAAATCGTTTTGCACGACCCCCACCATCTTGACCATGTCTTGATAGCGGACGAAGGCGGGGTGCATTTTAAACCTTTCCGAGAGCCGTATCCCATCCCCCCAGGCGAACAGCGTGACCACCGCCGTCATCGCTAACTGTTCCCCCGTGAAGAACCGGGCTGCGTCGGGATTCACCGTGTAGACTCGGCTGTGGCGCAGGGATTCGGCAAAATATGCGCGGAACATGTAGTATTCATACATTTTTCGAGCTTGCTCCCTCCCTCCGAGGCGATCCAGAGATTTTAGCGTGTCCCGCAGCGCGACACAAATACAGGCCAGCAAGGGCTGTTCCTTCAAGGCTTGTTCCAACTCTGCCGAAATTTCGGGGCCGTCCGTGTCCCCGTTGGATTTGTTCCATTTGTCCAAAAGGAGCCGCATGACGGAGGCATGGCCGCCTTTAAGCTTTCCCTTCTCAGCATTGGAATCCTTCACGTCAAACAGGTCGTCCAGGATGAAGAGGATGCCACACATTTTGGTCACGGCGAAATATTGGGGCGATTCGATGGGTCCGGTGGGATAGTACCAGTAGGTGAACTCCACCCCGTATTCGACCACTTTGTCGAGTTCGGCTTGTGACACCACGCCGCCGAAGGACTGTGTGAGGAAGCTCTTAAATCTCCGCCGCATCCGGGGGATGGCGATTTCGTCGGAGGGAGTCATTTGGCGCATGTTCTGGTTTGAAAAAGTAAGGTTAGTTTGTTAGTATGAATATAATAAGTAGTATGTTTCGTGATAGGGTCGAACTGTTTGAGAAATGATGTGTAACGTGGTATATTTATTTTTTATAAACTTTCTTTTTTCTTACAATGCGATGGTGTGAAGTGTAACTTTCCGATTTGCTTGAAATTTTGAAATTACTTTGTCCATGTCAATACAACCAATGTTTCTTGAGGCAGTTTGTGCGATGGTCAGAATTTGGCAAAATATTTGGGGTTAAAGTTGAAAAATGTGCAATTTTTAGCACGGGAATGGAATGGAAGTAGAGTTTGCCTCCTCTGCCGGGTAAAAATCGCCCATTTTTCAACGTTGACCTCAAATATTTTGATAAATTCTGACCATCGCACAAACTGCCTCAAGAAACGTTGGTTGTATTGACTTGGACCACTTAATTTCAAAATTTCAACCAATTCGGAGCGTTACACTTCACACCATCGCATTGTTAGTCAGGCGACAGCAGATACATAAGCGAGCCCCCAGACGGCAGACAGAAATTTGCAGACAAAATATACATATCCGGACAGAGGCACCTCTCAAAGAGTGTCAAAAATCTCAAATTTAAACCCTTCCTCTCGGAGAGAAAAATGGTTAAACACAATAGTTAACGTTGGGATATTTAACGTCGAGTGACGTAAAAATTCAAAACTTTATTTTTTTCTCACTTATCTATTAGATATGAATTTTTGGAGTGACCTTTTAACTTGTGTGACCGTATTTACACATATGTATGCATTCTGATTTGTTTGAATTTATAAATTTGCTCTTTAGGTCAAGTCGATTTTTTAAATACAGAAATCATCTAAATACAGTCTATTTAAAAATCACTGGCCGATTTTTGAAATTACTTTTTCATAGAAACATTTCTAAAATTACTAATGGGTCATCCATAGATTTGTATATGCATACATACAATTTAAACGATACTAGCATACATAACCACGTAATTGTTGTGCTGTCACTTAAAATTGAAATTAATATTTATGTACCTTCGGGGTGTAGTATGGAATTGTAACTTTAGTTGGTCCCAACTTCTTTAGCGAGTCTGCCACTTCCTGGGGTATTTTAGGACTGATGTCTATCTTTGAAAAATCATACGTCCACGATACCGACAAGTGGCGGGAACCTGGGGGAAGTACGAATTTATCCATGATTGTTTGTTCTCTGAGGCAAAATGAGGACTGTGGTGGAGCAGGCGTAATCACCTAGTCCAATGCTTTCTGCATTGCGAAATAATTGGGAAATCTTCAAACGTCATGTTGGTGGAGGGAGCGTAGTGCAAATATATGATGGTGAAGTTGCGAAATATTGTACAACTGGTTTTGCAATAATTGCTGGATACCTTTGTTTGTTCACGGTATGGCTATGAATTAAAATATCACCCTTATTGCCACACAGTTTTAGCAGAGGGTGGGAAAATGTAAGGTGTTCAATGTCACAGGAAACTCATAATGGAGGTCTCCCAACGTATACTCGCAGATTTGGACTAAACTAGGCCCAATCGATCATAAATATAATTAGTATGGAATTTGCAAATGGTATCTGCGTAGGTTTAGCGGAGATACATATTTGTATAAAAAGAGGAGAAGATGCACCCCCAAGGCCGACAAATTTCTCAATTTCCAAATTTGCTACGTATCTATTTTTCTCGCTTTGGATGCAAATATCTGTGCAGATAGTTCGATTTTCCAATTTCATATATGTATACTAATCAGAGGTCAACGCCGACCAATTTGGCGGCGGCGGCGGCGCCAATTTTGGGGATTTTTCGGCGTGGCGGCGCGGCGCGGCGCGGCGTCTCAATGTTGAAGGAATAGGGAATTAGATTTATCGGCGGCGGCGGCGCGTAAAATTATATCGGCGTTTGGCGGCGCGGCGGCGTGAGACCGGCGGCGTTGACCTCTGATACTAATTATATTTATGATAGACTGATGCTAGTTTGTAGGGTTGCCGTTTTAATCCGGATAATGTCGGATAGGATAAGGAAAAATACGATTCGGATATCCGTCGGATAGGATAATTTTTTTAAATTATCCGACTCGGATTATCCGATGTTGTCCGTCGGATATCGGATAATTGAAAAATGACGATTTAAGTGTAATTTGGACACGTTGTATGTGCGAGAGTAAAGTAAATATTCCATCTCCAATTGTATTTCATTTTCATCCATGCATGCATATATATATATTTAAGTAATTCCAGACAAATCAGTAAAGTTAGTAGATGTAAAATTATTAGAATTTCATTCTCTTAGTAAAATAATGAAATTGAATAATTATAGTTTGCTCCAAACCTGTGAGCATCCGTTGGGAGACCTCCATTGTCACTTTTGTGGCAGGTCTAACCATCACGTATCAATGTTAAATTCCGTCACGATGTATGTATTTATGTTGGCGTGAAATAGATGGAGGAGATAAAGCCATAGTGGAATATGTGTATGCATACGTTTACTGGATTTTAGTCGGTAAAAAACTGTATCCACATGTATCACAATCAATTTAAGGAATCTCACTATCATGAATAAATATACGCTGAAGGCTACCCATTATTTTTGATATTTGAATCACGCGTAGTTTAGTGGAAAAATCAAGGAAAAAGTTTGCTTTATTTTGTAAATTTCGGGGTAGTCGGGGTAGTCGGGGTTTTCGAATTTTACAAAATATGATAACAGGGCATTACTAGTAATTCTACAAATTAATTACTTATTCAAATATAATTAATAAGTAGTTTTGTTGCTAAATTACTGAAAAACTGATTTTTTTCAGTAACTTCTGAATTTAATATATGGGACACTGTCTCAGGTTGCCCCCAAAACCCCGACTACCCCGACTACCCGCCAAACCCAGGTAAAACCCCGGGGTATGGGTTTTCAATAGCAAAACCCCGGGGTTTTCCTTACCCTGGTCTCACGTTAAAAAAAATATAATTTAAATACACATACGTCTTGAAATTTATTGTATTTAAATTTTAACCTAAATTTATACATTCCAAATTGTGTGAAAAATTTAAAATTGTATTAAATGTAAAAAATTCCAAATTTTGTAAACAATTCAAACTTTTGATGAAAATGCCAAATCTTGTTAAAAATTCCAATTTTTATTAAAAATCTAAAATAGTTTTAAAAATTATAAATTTGGTTAAAAATTCAAAATTTTGTCGCAAAGGTTGTAACTTAAAATTATGACGTATAACGTACGTTAACATGAGATTTGACTTAATTAAAATTAGAAAGATTTCAAACTTTATTGAGTTAGCGTTGTTAGTCACGTACATGAATATGTACTACAATTGAAAGTGTATATCCTGCAATATGTACTTGTTAAAATTTAAGAATTAATATTTATAAACAATCTGCTGAATTTGACGTCTAGTCCTCATAATTCACCCAAATCTGCTCCGTCATTCCGTATTTGACTGAATCCCTGAAAGCGTATATAGATCCGTGCAAGAAGTTATCCACTAATTCGACATAATTGGAAATCCTTCCGTATTTTTCTCCAAACTCGGTTAAAACGTGGCGTCTAAGTTGTGTGTAATCATTCACGTAATTCCTGTGCAAAAAGGGGGGAACATGCATGTTCAAAAAATATTTATTCATTCAAAGTTCATTCATTCAAAGTTCATTCATTCAAAGCCTTCCAAAAATATTAATTAATTATTCACCATTCCTTCATTTTTTACAAAATTCACAGCATTAGATGAATTTCTCAACTTTCCCTATGTATCAGAGATCGACGCCGCCGACCATACGCCGCCGACCATACGTCGCCGATGTCGGTACTATTCTACGCGCCGCCACCGCCGCCGAAAAATTTGATTTCCTATACCTTCAACATTGCAACGCCGCGCCGCACCGCCGACGCCGCCGAAAAATTACCAAAAACTGGCGCCGCCGAAAATTTGTCGGCGTCGACCTCTGCTATGTAGGTATTAAGCATTGAGCAAAAAATGAATTATTTAAAAACATATTCGTTCATTATTCCTGCACACGAATTGAATAGATACATATTCATTCAATATTCATGTAAATATTAAAAAATCCGAATAAAATTTTCATTCAATATTCATTCAATTTTTCAATATTGAATGAATAGTTTATTCATTCATTATTAAATGAATGAATGTGAACACGTATGTATTGACTTGAGATATTGAGCGGACTCACCGCAATAGTTGGAGCTCCTCGTCCACCGCTACGCTAAGAAGGGTTCCATTTCTTAGCTTGTATAACAAAATTGCTTCCTCCTCCCCGAGCAAGAGGTCCTTCTGCAGGCCGAGCAAATTATTCAAAATCCCCGCCAGATTTTCCCCAATGTCGTGCCATCTGATAAATACGGGGTGTCCTGATATTATTTGGGGCAACTCGATCCCTTCTAACATTCTGATGTAACACATCGTATCCGTGAAGCCGGTCGCCTGTAAAAATAAAAATTTCAATGTTAGGGACAACCTGAATAAATAAACGTAAGGTCCCCTGAAAGGGGAAATCTTACAAGGGAACCTTAAGTACTGTCACACCTCAATTTCCTTCCGAATAGCCTTAATCGACAGATAATTTAGTGAAACTTAAACTTTGTCATGTGTAGAACATGCTGTGCAAAATCACGTTTTCGCGAAATATTTGGCAAGAGCTATACCAAAACATGCATTTTTCCAATGCTTTTAACATTAATATGGTAATGCTATTTTTGCAAATTTCTTATATTTTTGGTAAATACTAAAATTTTCAAAACTTCTAAAATCCGAATTTCATGATTTTTAAAAATTACAACAAAATTTAAGTTTTTCAAAAAGTAAAATTTTTCTTATTGAAACAAAGTTGACAAAATTTTTAACAAATTAAATTCCAAAACTGCCAAAAAATTTCAATTTTTATTTTACAAACAATTGCAATACGCACAAAATTGACAATTTGCAATTTGCAAAAAAATACAAAAAATTTCAAATATGTATGTACATTGTTTTTTTTCGGTTCATGATCAGCATGAAATTACGGACGTTTTTTATATATTTAATTTAAAACTTCATTTCATCATTCACAAAGCTGCTGGCTATGTTAAAAGCATTGGACAAAATGCATGTTTTGGTTTAGCTCTTGCCAAATATTTCGCGAAAACGTGATTTTGCACCGCATGTTCTAAGACAAAGTTTTAGTTTCACTAAATTATCTGTCGATTAAGACTATTCGAAGGAAATCGAGGTGTGACAGTACCTAAGGCTCCCTTGTTAGTCAGGTTTTGTGCAATTTTTGTATTAAAGAGATTTTTGTCACGGAATCTTTACATCACCGCTTTCGGATTATGTATGTATAATCATCCCTTAATTTGTATGCGAAAATCACTCACATTCGTCCTAAAGTAGCGACACGTGTCCTCCGAGAATGCGTCCAGTTTTCCTAAATTTTCATTTCTAAACGTCCACCTCGCAGACTCCATGGTTTTGAGGAGATTGAGTTTGTACCCGGACCACAACTTGTCCAGAGTAAGGTTTCCATTAACCGTTTGAAGAATGATAAAAATTTCTTTCATCGAGTTCCCAATCGATACTAAGAACGGGTGCTCTTTAAATATTTTCATGTCCATGGCCTTCGAAGTAAGATTTTTGGTGTCTGTAATAAATAGGTGCATCTTTCTAAATATGTACACTCTTAGAAATGGGGTTACGATTATAACCAAAAACTAAATGTATGGTTATAAATTTCTCATCGAGTGGGTACAATTGTCACCGAGTAATTATGAAGTTTCACCGACTTGGAATTAACTTGTCACCAGAGCTGATAAATTTATACCCATTTAGTGACAAATTCATAATTCAACCATGGGGGTAGAGTCACATACGTTTCCTTTTTGGTTATAATCGTCACCCCATTTATAAGAGTGGATGTACATACATAAATATATACTTCAGGTTGCATTCTTTGCCTCAAGATCATATGGTGTCTTTATTATGCACGATTTATTTAGGGTGTATTTATGTAGGATGGGCAAGAATTTTTTTAAATCGATGATCAGTGTCTCGGGTACAGGTGACCACCTGCAAGAAAGTGGTTACATGCAGCTAGTTTTTTCCGCAAGAAATGCAAGAAATCCCCAAGTTCATGGGGCGGGTCGTAAGAAAGCGCGCATTTCTTGTAGTTTTTCCCATTTTTCTTGCACATGCAAGAAATACAGGGTCTTCCTGTGCAGTGCAAGAAATGAGTCAAACGCGAAACATTGCCTTTGATGTGTACCCTTAAGGCATTTCGTAGCCTAGTTAAGAAAAATGGAGGAGAAGTAAAAAAAAAAATATGAGGCCAATACCCAAGCACTTAATTTTAGCTCGAGATGGCAACCAAGTTAAATATTGTAGCGATTTTAGACCGAGTGCCAATTTAACGGCCCAACAAAGATGCAGTTTTACCCAACCAAAATTAATATCGTCAATTATCGACAATTAAGAAATAATTATTTCATTGGAAATTTTAATGAAAACTGTTGTAAAATAAATCAATTGGTTGCACATGTCATGATTGGCGAATTTATTAATTTTGGTTGGAATAAACCATATTTTCGTTGGATGGTATACGTAAAATAAGCTGTTTTACGTCAAATTAATTTCGTACCAATCACTTCGCTTCCGGCGGTCGTTTCAAAAAGTTCCGCGACGGTGTTGCTACCCATCTCGAAATAGTTTTCTTTCTTCGCCCCCTCGTCATCACCATGGCCGGTGTTATCGAGGAAATAATCATCCAAGATGAAGCCGATGATGAAGAAATAGCACAAAATCTGAAACTCTGTTCCCTCCACGGGATAACTTGGAAAGAGTCGAGGTATACAAGAGGCGGCATGATTGGCTAATTTTTCGCCATATTTTTGCGGTACGAAGGTCCCATAACTGTCAGAAATCCAGTCTTCCAAGTCATCCCGAATTGTACTGAGTTGTGGATTAGGTTCAAATATGGTGGAATTGTTGGGGGGCCTTTGTATGAAAAAAGAACAAGGTAAGTAATTTTTTGTTAAAATAGTTTTTCAATTATTTACTACTAGCGTATAAGCCCGTCCCCCGACGGGCGAGGGTGGATTTGAGTTTCACAATTCCAATTAATATTATTTCTTTCTCTACTTTCACTTCCGTCAAGGCAAATTATTGTACTTCCGTTGCAGACCAACCTCTCCAGCTTATAATATACATTGCCCAATTTTTGTGTTAATTTAGCTCCTTGGAAATTAATTACTACATTAATTCATATTTCTTTTTACCCTCACCTATAAATTTCTGGAACAAAGAAGTCAAATTCCTTCTCAAATTTCGTTCGGGAATCATACCCCGTCGCATTTTTCATGTCGGGTCTTAGTGTTTCCAAATTAATGGAAAATTTTACGCGGCAGGTACCCAAGTCGTCGTTTTGCTTTGTCTTGTTTGAATCCATGGTAGAAGTCTGGAAATTTTTATGGTCAGATAAAACAACCAACTGATACTTATCCTCTTCTGCTTCGTATTAAAGGCCGACTGAAAGAATTATGTACGTAACTTTGCCCCGACTTACTTCGCCCTTGTGTGATTGAGCATTAAAAGTGGCGTGGGAAAATGAGTACCTTTACGTGTAGAAAAGGAGGATGCTACACTGTAAATAAATAATTCTGTAACAGGTATTAGATATTTACGAAGCGGTTACTGTACTTGAGTCTACCGCCGTGGTAATGAATGTATTACCAGGCGCATAATACTTGTTACTGCGCTGTAAGGGGGTGCGTTTTCTCCTCTATGTCTACAAATATTTCCGCCAAACCTGCGAATTGGAAGAATGAGGAGGGAATTTTTTTAATTCCGGCAAGAATGCTGTAACTTATCGAATTTTAACCTTATTTCAAACATAAAAGTCAATTTTTGTTCAGAATTATTTCGCTGAAAATATAAAAATTCATTTAAAAAAACGTTTAATTAAAAATAACTATTGTTTCTGGGGATTCTTAAAATTCAGAAATTAATAATATGAAACTATACAATTTTTGAAATTTTTCAAAATGAATTTTTCTATATATTCAGGGAGCTTATAATATTAGTATTTAATTTTTGTAATCGGGTTAAAATTATAAAACTTACAGCATTTTTAAAAATCTTGATTTTGATTGATTTTTTTTAATTGCACCACGGGCGTAAACATTCCCATTCAGTAAAACGCAAAAATACGTGTCCGCTTAATTCTGTGCCTGCACAATTTAAAATTTTTCCGGTCTCGATCGGTGATAACCACCTTACACCTTCTCACTGTAAGAAGTGTATCCATTCTCTGTACGTTTTACGTATTTATTTATCATCAAGTTTAAGCCTTATGAACGAAACATTTTTTAAAAAAACTGACGGGCCAAAATATCCAAAACTATTTCAGAAAATGGGATGACTTCCTTGGGGATGAAATTACATATTATCTGTGTGTATAAATTGAGTAAAGCGGATTAGAACGCTGCCAGTATTTCGTTTCTTGCGGGTTTTTCTCATTTTTTGCACTGCAAAGCAAGAAATGCAAGAAATGCAAGGTGCAAGAAATGCAAGAAAGTGCAAGAGACACAGCGCCATCTAGCGACGCACCTTCAGAACTATGGCGGCGGGAAGGAGTTTCTTGCACTTTGCATTTCTTGCGGGTAAAAATAGCTGCAAGAAACCAATTTCTTGCGGTTATTTCTTGCAGGTGGTTACTTGCACCCGAAACACTGAACGCTGCATTATGTTTATATACTCATATGTATATACCTAAAGTGGGAAGTGTATATACATATTTAGCTTAATATTGCTTTTGTCAGATCTAAAGAAATCGGGTTTTTCACCGCTTAAACTCATTTCCCCACCAAAAATAATAGGTGGGAGCCCATGGGAAACCGTTCTTCTCCAAGAGCCCCATGGGCGTCCAAAGGAAATTTAGGATGCATGGGTGATATCCTGTCAATTCCTCATAGGAGAAATCCCATGGGAAAATAGTTTGTTTTATCCCATGGGACATTTAAGTTGGAACGCGCTGATTGGCTCAGCCAGCTGAGCCAATCAGTGCGTTCCACCGGGAAAATGAACTTTGGCCATCTTGTTCGGTTTATTTGTTAGCATTGGTCGTATTTCTAGTCACATCTTTATTTAAGTAATTTGCTGTTTCAGTTTTAAATATAACTTGGTCGTCTTCGTTTAGTAAATAGCAATGTCACACGAGAAAATTAGGGCAAAACAGTAAGTGCGTGACATTCGTTGGATATGGTTAGTATTGCACTTATATTATGTTACCTTAGCAATTGCAAACATTACGAGTAGTATTAATTCATTATTAATTCATTGCGTTTTTAGGAACCAGTGCCGAAATGAAAAAAAAATTGTTAAAGAGAAGGCAGAGTGGGTGCTAATTTATGTGTTCAAGATATAATGCAATATCAGAAACTATTAGATTATTTTTTATCCTTAAATGTTGAATTAGAATAGGATATTGTCGTTTGTTTGTGTATGTATGTACTTACGTAATTGTTTTGTGACATTGGTAAGAAGCAAGTAATAAAAAGTCGTACAATAGTTAACGAGAGTTTTTTTATCATTCTACAGTCCATAGGATAAGTACTGAACATCTACGGGATACATTAAAAAGAACCCATGGGATACATTTAAGAAAAACCTATGGGATTCGTCCCATGGGTTTAAAGATACTTTTCCCATGGGAACAGGCATGGGCAAAGTTTCCCATTTTCCAATGCACTGTCCCATGGGTCATCACCCATGGGCTCCTATGGATTACTTTTGGTGGGGTTGCCTACGCACACCAATACCATCGTGTAAATATGCAAATAGTGGCGTATGCACTAGTGCTATAATAGATGTAAATTTACTACGCATTTTTTGGTTTCAATACGGCCCTTAGTAAAAATCTCACTGGTACCCTGCAGAAGAGTCATAAGCGGCCCCGTTTTAAATTTGAACGCGATTTCTTTAGAAAAACCATAAGCAATATCACTACAAAAATGTTGTGTAATTTAACACGTGGGTAAATCTACGGCATACAATAAACCGCCCCTCTAAATAATTTGACTTTTCCCCCTTATTTAATCGAAAATTGCCATAGTTGATTTTTCCCTCACGTAATTTTTTTCTGTCCCTCTATGAAACTCAATATGCCACTTAATACACTAATGTGGTTTATGGAATTGGCTTACGCAATCACCCTGGATTTACATTATTAAAATCGCTCACAGTAAAAATGCTGAATCAAACTCTCGGAATCTCTACCAGAACTCATACTGCTTGACTCGTGCAAACGATTCTGTCATTGTTGCTTTGCTTATCATGTTGCAAAAATTACGATTTTGCTCTTCCGGCAGCGAATCCGAAGATGAGGAAACTCCAGCTACGAAACGAAGAAACATAGCCGATTGTCAAAGAATCGAAACTTATCAGTCTAACAAGGGACACTCACGACGGTGTCGTTTGAGTCCAGGGTACCCACTATGTTTTTTAGAATCTACTAGGACCCCAGATGAAGGATTCATTCATATTTCCGTGTAAAACTCATATTTGGCGCCATGGCGTGGCGCCAAATTCGCCAAATTTGTATGTTTTTATTTTTGAAACCGCCATAACTTTTGAAATCCTGGACGGATTTTCAAAATTTTTGGCAAAAATCGTGACAAGGACTGTTTTTTTTTGCACTACACATAAATGAACATGACGTCCTTCCCAGTACTGTGTCACATCCGGGAAACTAATTACATATTCACGAGCAGGGAGGATAACAATCTCTGTATAAAAATTCCCATTCGCAGAAATTCTTAATTATATTTTAAATAATGTTGATCATTTAAGGTTCGGATTAGCAACAGGTATTTAACCCATACATGTTCCACCTACATTAATGGTAACGTGTAAGTTGTACAAATTTCTCATACTTTTAAAATTAGCTTACAAATTGGCACCTACAATTGCACACCCACATGATGGATGAGAGTGTGCATGCATTTAGTGGGTGTGATTGAGAGTATAATTGTGTGTCGTTTGAGTATTGTATTTTAGGGGTGGTAAATCTGTGGGTGTCAACACCAAGGACTAAGGCACTAAAGACTAAACCCACAAGGAGTAAAGAACCAAAGCACCGAAGCCCAAAGAGTTGACACCATTTAATTATCATCATTTAAATTAGACCCGTACCATCTCAGTAGTTGAAGTAATTCTATCTTGGAGCAAAACTAACATGATTTTGTAAGATTCTGCACAACGATATATATTTTTTGTGATTCAACCTTTTGACATGATTGTTTAGATTATTTTTGCAGTTCTGTTGTTATTAGGAACTTCATAGTCAACGTAATAAGAATCGAGCAAAATCACAATTTTATGAAATTCCAAAGCTCGGTCATTTCTCAACCAATTGCAATATTCCCAAAGAGTAAAACATGCTTACTGACCCACAGAATAATAATTTCAATATCCCAGCTTCCAAATTATAATCAATAATTTCGTATACTTCAAAAACCCTTCACATGCTCACATTTGAGCTAATATCTTTGTTTATGAGAATGCTAGAAGAGTCGGAGCTGCGATTCCTAATCTACGTCACGAATGGATGTAGATTCCAAAATTTCAGCTCTCTATCTCTAAAACTGGCTGAGAAATCTACGATCATAAGTTACGAGGGGGGGTACAAATGCATACTTAGGTGAATTTTTTTTGACGCGTTGCTATTGACGTTACATCACCTAAGAAAAATGACCATCAAAATTTCCAAGTATAAAATCCTACACTTAATACACACATTATAAAATATGGTAACATTTTACAATCCATCTCTGACTTAGGAAAATTACTTCGTTATGTATGTCAGCAGTTTTGAATATGTGGGAAAAATTTATTCCGACATAATCTGACATGGTCGGCATTTTATACTTATCTATATCGATTTGTGCCTGGGAAATGCATTCAAAACGGCCTAACTTTAATGAACAAGTCATACATACATACATATATATATAATGAAATATTTACCTCCACGAGCCAGGGCTGGGTCGTTACTTTTTAAAGACACGAGTATTGCAATAACTTGGCAACATGTTTTACTTATTATGAAGGCCACTCCTGTGTGCTGCTGTTTGTTCTTATGTATCAAGTGTGTAATTTTTCATTTATGTAAATATGTAAATTTTGCGAGATATGTCGCAATTACTGAGGAAATTAACATGTTATTTATCCAGTCGCCTCCAGTTCGCACGGATGGGAAAAAGTCGACATTCTTTTTCACCTCGGTTGTACATACATACTTGATTTGCATAGTTTTTTTTAGTGAATTTATTGACTCCACGTGGAAAAATTTCAACATACAGTTGGTGTTTCCTGTTTTGCAAATAGTAAAACATGGCACGTCACTTTTTCATGCGTCAGATTCAACCTTAATTTTAGATGTTTTGACTCGATTACGAATTAAATGAGTGTGTCGTGGGAAAATTACTTAAGTAATTCCGTCCTTATCGCAGGCTTACTTCACTTGGCGAAATTATTTTATGAGATTTGTTACTATTTGTTTAGTCATAACGAGTTTTGTGACGCATTTATGGTCGTATAACTAAATAATAATGTTGAATACCTTGTTTCTCAGGGTGTCCGGAGTTCCGTGCGTGATCGTCCGTCCATCCAGATAAGGGCTTGTCCGTGGATGCACATATCCGTCAATTAAGCGTCCGTACTATAATTTTTCCACGCTCCATCACCGCGACACTTGATAAACCAATCGATAAATATGTACAATGAAAATATGTAAATATGTATAATGATTTCTGTAGTTATGAAAATTGTATTGGTTGTAATTGTTTGCTTCAGTGTTTGAAAAAAATTTATATTTTCATGCAATTTCTGAATTCTTTAAAATTCTAAAACCGATAATTTTTTTAATTTAACGGTTTTTAACAGTGAATTTATACATTATCAGGGAAATAATTGTGCAAGAATTGGGTTTAAATTTTGAAATAGGATTACAATGAGAAAAGTTACGGCGTTTTTAAAAATCCGGATTTAGGCTGAAAAAATTTTTTTTTTTAAATTTTTCAAACATGGTCATTCCAGGAAAATGCAAAAATACGGGTCCACTTCGTTGTTAGTGTGAACAATTTAAAATTAGTCAGGTCCATATCGACGATAACCACCGCACCTCCGCATTGTTAGTTTCTAACCGCTGAAAATATTAATGAGTACAAAACTTTGGACATAATATGTCTACTCGTTTTCATATTCTACACTAGCGTTAACGGACGTCCAATCCTGTACCGACGACTAACATGGACAGAAAAATTACTATATGGACCAACTAGCTAATAAGCCCGTCTCTCACAGGGCGGGGAGAATTATATATAGATTCCACTTCGAAATATCTACTAAAATCTTTATGTTTACAAACATACTCAAAATATACAGGAAATTATGTAAATATACGAAAACCCCTCAAAATATGTATGAAAATACCTATGTACGAAAACCTTAAAACATGGAAAACTACATATGTTAGAATTTTTGCGATCGTGCTTGGATGAGATGTCAGTCTAAGAAGTTTTAACACGATCTGTTTTAGTATCAAAAGCTACATATGAATATATAAAAATCCGCCGTCTGCTCATAATATAGATTTGCTCTCACTTCCGTTGCCGACAGACATTTGCAGGTTATAATATAGATGCCATCGGACGAGCCGGTATAAAAAAAAAGCATAAGCTTAGCAACATTTATCCCACACCTCCTGCTCAGTATAAATACCGCAAGACCGCACTTCCTAGCCTCCTATTCCACATACTGAGCAGCCCTGAACACACTTAAAGAAGATTCTAAAAAATGGAGAACCCAGCCGTACAAAGGAAGACTCATTACGAAATGTCGTTCTACGAAATCTTGGCAACATCCGTGGCGCGCATGGGACCCACACCGAATCATATTGCTATCATAATGGATGGGTAATACAAATAATGTATTTTTTTCAAAAATTTTCCAATTGAAATTTTCACAAATGACTTAAATAAATGAAACATTTTTCTTTGTCAGAAATCGTCGCTTTGCTAGGGCGAAAGGGTTAAAAGTTATGCATGGTCATGAAGCAGGGTAAGAAGTTAATTACGTATTCAAATATGTAACTTGACTTTGTTAAGAATTTATATAACGGAAGTAACTTGGTGCAAATTATCGAAGGTGGCTTATCACGAATAAAAATTTGAACAGAGTCATTATGCAGAAAGATGTATGAAGAAACTTATGCACGCATAAGTGAAAAATTGAAGGGATTTTATGCATAAATTTGGCTGGTTTTCATGCAGAGAATTGGCTGGATTTTAGGCAGAAAAATTTATGCCGAAACAATTTGTGCATAAAATGTGTAGAATTATGCATAATTGTGCAAAACCTTGCTGCAAAATATACCTGTCAGAAATTTTATGCAGAGTCGTTCATACGTTTTCTGCACAAACCATTGGTCCGGGCAGTTGTGTCGAATTATGTCAAATTCGACACACGATTTTCACCCAGGCAGAATTATGCGGAATTATGTATGTAAAGGGTGTTGATTTAATTCGATCACACTTTTCCTGTAAATTTTTGAGGAGCTATTACTCATAATTGGTAAAATTTATGAAGTCAATTTTTTTATCAGACATACCTTGATAAGTGGTCTTTCCATCAGGAACTTCATTCATCCGTCAACTCTTTGTTACAGACTCTGTGATCATTTTTTTAAAGATTATTTTATAAAAAAATCCCAAGATTTCTTGAACTTTTGTGATAACGTCTTTCCTTGCTCAATGTTTTGGATCTTGTGCACGTTTTCCTTCAGTATGTACAACATACTATCCTGGGAATACGGAGTCAGGTTTTTATCATTCCACTAAAATTTCGTAGGCACCGTTGAAGCTTGATGTACTATTGCACTCATAATGAATTGTTCGATGTGGTCCGTGGTATTGCTCTGCGCGAATATTTTATTTATCTCAATTGGCAAAAATTCCTTGTTTCCTAGTCTATCAGAGCAAATAGGTCACATTCTCCATATGCCCCGTTGCGTACATGTTTCCGCATTTGCATGCAATATTTTGTGGTGTCAAAGCCACCCGCCCAGAACCACTGACACCATAATTTCCAATTCAGATTTCGGGACCCTCATTACCGATAGATCCGATTTTTTTGCTGTTTTGTATCTTACCATTTATGAGCGTAATTTTGGATAGAACCGAATTTGACGGTAACTGAAGCAGAGGATGTGGCGACCCAATTCTTTACGGTGTCAAATACCCACTTTTTCAAGACTTTTGCGTTAATTGAACCCGGTCATCAATGTTTCTGGTGGAGAGATGATTTTTTTCTCTTACTTTGTAACTTGTCTAACCACATTATGCAGATTGGACGTTAGTTTTCACCAAAATGGGCTATTCGTACTTGATTTTCGTTTAGTCCTTTTCAAGTCATTTCGATCCCGTGCACCATTTGGACAAGAACTTTCGTTTTCATGCCAAATTTCTGCAAGGTCTTTATTTTCCTGGTAGGTGGGAACCATTTGGGTTGTTTATAAGGTTTTTCATCCGTGAAAAATTTTTATTCATGCATTGCCATCACCTATTCCCGGAACATCCGATTTAAGGTGGATTTTTGTTTTCACCTGAAATTCCCTGCTTCTAAGACCTGCGTCTCAATGCTATCATCCTCATAATTAGCACTTATATTCGTGCTACTCATGGTAAAAATTTCAAAGAAAAATATTAACGGGATCAATAATTATAGCTGAATTTGTCTCTGACGCGCGCGCGAAAATCGATGTGATCGAATTAAATCAACACCCTTTATGTATGCACATAACGTTCTGCAAAATACATAATAGCGACACAAATTTTTTCGCTTTTACAATTTTTACACAATCTGCAGGATTATTTTTTAAAAAATTATGCATAATACAACATGCATAAATATTTATAGTTTTTGCTGCTTACTGCAGAACTCGACACAGCGAATTTTACTCGGGATGTCATAAAAATCTTGGTACATATTGACCCATATTAATTATTAATACGCAACTCTAACGCCTTGGTATTAAATGGTGACACCAATTTTGTATAGATCCGGTAATATGGGGTGACGATTATGTATCACTAGAAAGTAGACATATGTATAAGTATGATTCTACAGGAATGGTTATAAATTTGTCACCGAAATGCTACAAATTTCTCACCAGTTGTACATAATTCAATTTCTGGTGGTAGTCGTCACCCCATTTCTGTGAGTAATACTGCTCAGAGTTAATTTCAACCACTGACCGGTATTAAAATCTTGTAGCAATTAATTCCTACCCTGTGAAGTAGGAATACAGCCCTGGTGAAAATTTTGGCGGATTTTATGCATTAATTTGGCCAGATTTATAACAAAAATTGGCTCAATTATGTAAATGCATAAAAATATATGCAGGACGGGTATAGTACAAACTATGTGCATACGTATATCGAGTTATGCTTAACAATGAACACAAGATTCTGCAGAGTGTAACCCTCAGATATTATCTGCATAATTATACATATTTTTTCCTGCATAAACTAAGGTGTCGATTACTTATTATGCACAATCCGACACGATTTTTACAGGGGCGTGGATTAATGATCTTTTACCAAGACTTTTACCAAGAATTTCCAGCCGACTTACGCCTCTAAACTTAAGCCGAGTACTGTTTCGTTAATCCTGACTCCTTAAAATGAGGATAGAGTTTTACAAGGGAACTGTACAAGGGGTACAAGGTCAAGGTCAAGGTCAAGGTCTGCTCCTCCCCTATTGTCCGAATCCGCGATTACATTAGCCGAATCAGCCAAACTATTTTATTATTTAACGTCACTTACCTATTTTTATTTCGGCGCGAAATTGAATAGTTTGAACGTCAAAATATAAAAAACAAACGAACAAAAAATATGGTGTTAAAAAATAAAATAATTCGGCCAGTGTAATCGCGATTCATCCAATAGGGGAGGAACAGCTGCACACCTTGTACAGTTCCCTTGTAAAGCTCTATCCTCAGTATAAGGAGTCATACAAACCAAACAGTTCGGTGCATACGTATTTACATATGGGAAAATTTGCACCAAATTTTTCCCAAAAACATCCCCTTATGACAATATCTAAATACATATACGCTACAATAAATATTCAGGTCTACCGTTTTGGACGGGGTGGACGAATGGAGGAAAGCGATCGGATGTAAAGAGCTCACCATTTATGTCTTTTCATCCGAAAATTTTAAACGAACCAAGGATGAAGTGGATAACTTGATGGAACTCATATTTCGACGGTCTGAAGACACCTTGAATGATGTGTAAGGATTTAATTATTGTATTTCTTTACATTAATTTTAGATTATTCTTTCTAATTACGGTTCGTTCTGCTGAGAGGGTTGGAATCCATCGCCGATTTACGTTAGCCGACCCGCATAAAGTGTTCTATATAAATTATGGTACATATGTAATTTATGGAATACCAGTTTATTTATTTTGGCGTAAAAATCACTCAATTTTGTGTCTGGAATTTGGAAAATTGAATGATTTTCACGCCAAAATATGTACATATTTACGTAGATAAGTTGGTATTCCATAATTTAGAACAATCTCAGCAGAACCAACGGTAAAAATAGTTAAGTTCTAAATAATTATTCTTTATATTTCCCAATTTGAAAGGAAATCTGGAAAAAATACCAACATGTGCGTCCAATTTATCGGAAACTGGGAGCGGAGTCCGGAAAAGTTAAAAAATCGCATAGCCAATGTGATGGAGATAACCAAGGACTTTAAACCGTACAAGCTAAATGTCGCCCTCGCATTTACAGGTCAAAGATGTACATAGTTTATATTATAAAGATTTAATTCCACTTTATTAACTTTTCATTACTAACAATATCCTCACCGATTTGGGCGTCAATCGATAACTAATATATGTAGATTACTAGTATTAATTTTGCAAATGGAACTATGTATCTCCTAGTGCGCAGGTTTGGCGGAGATATTTGCATCCAAAGCGGGAAAAATGAGCAGCAAATTTGGAAATTGAAAAATGTCTCAGTCTTGGGAATGCATTTTCTCCTCTTTTTATGCAAATATCACCACTAAACTTGAGCATTGGCCGATTCATAAGTATGTACATGCATAGTTCCATTTGCAAATTTCATACCAATCATATTTGTGATCGATTGACGCCAATTTGGTCAAAATCTATAAGCATACGTTGGGAGATCGTTGGGAGATTATCAGAAATAAGTTGACCGTATTCTTCCATTTTCCTGAATCGGCGTGCCTACGCCTGTGGCGAAATTTTCGAAAAAAAAATAAAATTCGAATTTTTAAAAACCCTGTAACTCTTAGAACTTTGACCCGATTTCAAAACTTAAACCCTATTTTTTGCTCAGAATTATTTCCTTGACCTTACAAAAATTCAATTTCTACATTTAAAAAAATGCTGAAACTCATAATTTTTTTAAAACTAAAATCGTTTTAAAGATGTTTTTTTTAAATATTGTTATCGAAGTGATTCTAAGCAAAAATTGCGTCATCGATACAGTTAATCCCGTAAGAAACCGCGGTGTCAAAATCTCGTCCATAATTTTACCCCTAAACGTCCCTTTTATAGGCCGGGAAGGGATTCTACAAAGTCTGCAAGCTTTCACAGGTTGGAAGGATGACACGCCGACGAATGAGAGTGACTCCACTCCAGAAAACTCTCTCGGCTGGAACCAATATTTGATCGAGCAGGCCCAACATTTAGCGCATATGCGTCCCATCGACATCCTCATCCGTTCAGGGGGCGATCAGAGATATTCTGACTTTATGATGTGGGAAGCGAGCCACGCCTACATTCACTTTACCCCAGAAACATGGCCGGAATTTAATTTCAACCAATTCATGAATGCCATCTTTAAATATCAAGTTTTTCGAAGGCAATTAATCCACAAACCGGTAGGGATGGTAACTTTGGTGTTCATTTACCCTAAATATTTACTGCTGAGTCTAAAGACGACACAAATCCGACTAACAATGGAGGTCTCCCAATGTATGCTCACAGATTTGGACAAAAGTAGCCTCAATCGATCAGAAATATGATTAGTATGAAATTTGCTAATTGCACTATCTGCCAATGCGCAGGTTTGGGAGATATTTGCATCGAAAGCGGGCAAATTTGGAGAATACAAATTTCCCAGCGTCTAGGCGCGTTTTTCCCTCTTTTAAATGCAAATATCTCTGCAAAACCTGCGAATTGGCAGATAGTGCAATTAGCAAATTTCATACTAATCATATTTCTGATCGATTGAGGCTACTTTTGTCCAAATCTGTGAGCATACGTTGGGAGACCTCTATTGTGAGTACAATTTGAAACTGGGTATGATTGGAGACCCGGGTAAATTATTTTTCGGTTATGCCTACAGATCTTGAAACATCTAAGAAAAGACGTTAAACGAATCCCATAATTAGAGACAAGCTTTATAAAATTTTCAAATTTTAAGCTCAACACGCGGCTACAAATATTTACGGTATATTTCTCATGTGCTATTTTTCATTTGCTAAATTCTACATAGATTTCGGCTAAGGAATCCTTGTCACCTGAGGAATCTATAAAATCTGAAGAAATCCTGGAGAAATCTCGCATAAAGAAGTGGAAGAGGATTGGACGGCTAGCGAGGAAGGATGTCCCTCACTTGGGAACGTGCATTCCGTACGTTGTGAATAATAAATGGCTTGAAAGTTTTCAGAAAATTCTAAAATTTTAAGTAACCATCATTTTTGCTGGGAGAGTGTGGTTTGTATTTACATACATGATTACTTATGCATATGATTATTAATGTGATTATGACTATGATTATGATGTTGTTACTGTGAACTTGTTAGACACTTGAATAAAGCATCAATCAATCAATCAATCAATGATTATGAATGATTATGATTATAAAAACATTTCCATAGCAATATAAAAAAATTTCCTTGGCAATATTAAAAACAGGAAAGGGAAACGATTTTTGATTATGAGTATTATTATGATTATGATTTTGATTATGAATATGCATATTTATGATTATGAATGTGATTATGATTATGCGTATGACCATGAACAAGATTAGGTCCTTCACAACGGTAAAAAAATTCCTTATGAAAGCTGAAAAAAAATTCTTAACAACATTAAAAAAATTGCTCTGAAACTTTAAAAATTCCTTAGTAGCATTGAAAAAAATTCTTAGCAACGTTATAGTAACATGATAAGTAATTGTCCAAACTTGCAATTCATCCCCTCGGTGACAAATTTATTACCTGGGTATTATCGCCATCCGGTAAAAACCCATACATGTACTAACAATGGAGGTCTCCAAACGTATGCTCACAGATTTGGACAAAACTAGCGTCAATCGATTACAAATATAATTAGTATGAAATTTGTAAATGGCACTACCTGCCAATGCGCAGGTTTGGCGGAGATATTTTATTTACAATGTGGATTATTCAAAAACTGTGCGGATATAATTACGTATGTACCTATATATTTTTACTGTTTATGGCTACCGAGAAAGTTATGAGAGTATGTATGACGTGTGCAATAAACGCATTTAGCCAGCCAGGGTGCCTTTCATGTTCGGATTAGCTTTATGTACCATTTCCGCGAATTTGAGACTAAAGTAGTAAAGAACCACCCGAAAAAAAAAACAACATGATCAAACTAAAATTGTAATTCTGCAATTTTTCTAAAAATTTGATTACAATGTTAAAAATCTTGTAGTCACACAAACTACATAGTTTGTGCTGGTAATAATTTCGTTCCGGATTCGTAGTAAATTGTTCATTATCACAACTTTACGGAACGGCAATTCCCGTTACATCACTGCATCCGCGTAAGGTCGGGTGGCGATTCAGGCCTGATCGTTACCGCAGTGATCATTTTCTTCGACATGTACTGCGCCCTCATCGTCTGGTGCTTTTGGGAGGAAGTGACAACCGGGGAGAGCGGTGGAAAGGTGTAAAAACCCATGTTTTGTTTGAGGCGGGTTGGGATCAGTTAGACGAAACAGAAGTTGAGATCACTATAAGAATCGGTTCGTGTTTTCTGTTTGTCCACCGTTGAACTCCCCGCACGCAGTCTCACTCTGCCTCCACGTGACTTGCGTGCACATTTCCCATCAAACTCAAATTGTCTTGATCACAGTGCTCAAGTAAATTCACAACACTGTACATCACATCATTCATCATCAGTAGTGGTTATCATAATAAGTTATCTTGATAAACACTATCAATTAAATTATTAATTTAAAAAACTCCACCCACACCATGCGGCACATCAATTTGATTGCATTTTTGACGCTGAATTCAATAGTTTTTACCTCCGAGGCCCCCGTGACCTTGCCGTGACCGTGGGGGCCAAATATGGCTTATTTATGATGTGACACATCAATTCGAATGCATTTTTGAAGTATAATCCGATGCCGTCAATAGTTTTGACCTCCGAGGCCCCCGTGACCTTGCCGTGACCGTGGGGGCCAAATATGGCTTATTCGTGATGTCGCACGTCAACTCGAATGTATTTTTGACGCTTAATCCGACTCGGTGAATAGTTTGGCGGGGATTGTAATAGTTCGGTGTGTGTAGAACTTAACCGAGATTGTGTATGTTACCTGGGATTGCGGAACTTAAAAGGGTGGATGGAAATTAAAGCTGCTTGCGCAGGTTAGTGGGAGTTATCCAGAATTGCGGAAGTTATCGGGGTTTGTGGAAGTTATTTGGGTTTGTGGAAGTTATCGGGGTTAGTGGAAGTTATCGGGGTTCGTGGGAGTTGTCTGGGTTTGTGGAAATTATCTGGGTTTGTCGAAATTATCGGGGTTCGTGGGAGTTATCGGGGTGCGTAGGAGTTATCGGGGTTCGTGGGAGTTGTCGGGTCCGTGGGTGTTATCGGGGTTCGTGGGAGTTACCGGAATTTGTGGAAGTTATCGGGGTTTGTGGAAGTTATCTGGGTTTGTGGGGAAGTTATCGGGGTTTGTGGGGAAGTTATCGGGGTTTGTGGAAGTTATCGGGGTTTGTGGAAATTATCGGGGTTTGTGGAAATTATCGGGGTTCGTAGGAGTTATCGGGGTTCGTGGAAGTTATCGGGTCCGTGGTTGTTATCGGCGTTCGTGGGAGTTATCGGAATTTGTGGAAGTTATCTGGGTTTGTGGGAGTTGTTTGGGTTTGTGTAAGTTATCTGGGTTTGTATAAATTATCGGGGTTCGTAGGAGTTATCGGGGTTCATCGGGTCCGTGGGAGTTATCGGGCTTTGTGGAAGTTAACGGAGCGTGGAGTAAACGGGGAGCAAGGATGTCGACGGCGTTGTGAAAAAACAATAAAAGTTACATTCTTGCAAAAGGACACATCGTGTCAAGTATTATTTAAGACGTTTTAAATTCGAATCTAGGTGCCCGCTAGACGGGCACTACAGCCTAGTACTTACATAAATGATGATACACTCTCAACAATTTTTTGACGATATTGTTACCGGCGGAGGTACTATGTGATTCTACCGCTCGGGTAATAATTTATCACCAAAGAGTGGCATATATAAAGAGGCTAAATCCTGCTCAGCACCCAATGTCAACGCTCAGGTAATAAAAATGTTACCCATACCGGAGGCAATTTCTTACCCTCAGAAGACAATTTGTTACTATAGTGTTACCACGCGGTAGAGTCACATAGTACCTCCGCCGGTAACAATTTTGTCAAAAAATTATTGAGAGTGTAGGGTCTCTAAGCATAATTTTTAGCTAGATAAGAAATATGAATGTAAGCATGCTAAGTATTAAACGTTGGTTCAAAACTTACTGTAATGTGCTTTGTAAATTCAACTCGAGTATGTAAATATATATGTTCTCTATGATTTGTGCCAGCATACATATATTGCTTTTTAGTTGCTGTGAATAAATAATTACATATGTATTCACAACAAGTTTTACGTATCGCATTTGGTATTTCATTACATATGAAAATATGGGAAGTTGTGAGATTGTTGGTTCGGTTATGGATTTTGAGCCTTCTCACGTTACTTCCGCTGGGCTTTACCTACCTATTTAATACCCAGACAACCTAATTTAATTTAATTTAATTTAATTTAATTTAAAAAAATTTGTGTATATGATTGTAAAGGCCGCGGCCACATCAATCGAGATTAATAAATAAACCTACCTATTTAATACCCAGGCAACCTTGTATTTCATTAAAACGTTCGGAGATTACATGCGTATCGTTCGTTTGCCAATTTCAACATAAGCCTGTATGAACAAAATGCTCTCTCGCCGATACATACATACGTTTCATGTTGACATGTCTACATATTTATGTTCCAAATATGTACACTCATGCGAACAATTATCCGGTGCTGACATTGGAATACATAAATGCACTTTTCTCAAAAACCACAAATGATACCCAAGTGATTCTTTTTGCAATTAGTGGATAAATTTGGTAGGTAGATCACACCGTAAAACCAGTTTCGAAGAAAAATTCTACGTGGGGCAAAACAAGATTTTCCCGCGGCGATTTAAAACCAAGTTGGGAACAATTATTTGGTATTTTTAATCATCCACTAAAAACTTGCTTGTCTTGAGTAACATTGTGCGCATGAGTGTAGCTATGCATGTAAACCTTGCCAGGTAGATTTCAGCCAAAAACAAGTATGTATAGACATGCATACATATATTTACATATGTATATCTGCATACATACTGATTACTAGCCATGAAATGCAAAATTTTATAGATTCTTCGATATACGCATTTGAGAATTACTAATTAAACTCAAAGTCTATAAACGATTACTTCGACAAATAACTATTTTTCGATATATTTTCAAGCAGCTATTTACCTAATACATAGATATGTTGGATACCATGAGAAATTGCAAAAGCTGGAGTTGCGTGTTCTACAAGGTTCATAATTACTACATAAATTCTCACTAATATTAATCGGATAATTTTATTCTCATCAATACAAATAGGATCGCACTAATGTATGTACGAACAACCTGCCAAGGTGAAATACATGTCAATTAGCTTGGCTTCCTTTTAAAGAATGACCATGAAACATATTTTTTAATAAAATTCAGACCTTTTGAAGTATAATTGTTCTTAAAATGTGTTTCTTCACAAAAAATAATTGAGGGTGGTGAACTGACTGATCGTGAAAATCAATTACGATCCTTACCTTATCTTACTTTGCTGCTGTAAATATCTGTACTTATGTAAATATTCATAACCCAATATGCAGATAACCTATACCCAAACCAAAAACATGGGTCGTCTCATAATCACCATTCTTTTAATAAGTATCTTATCCAAACCATACCACGTTCTTGGTCATCCAGGAGAGTCAACAGCTCTTGTAATTGAAACCTCACAAGAAATCTACCACCTTAATCTACCCTTCGTTCCAGGTAGTTTACTCGTCCTGATAACCTTCAGCGACCCGATACGTCTTATCGATTATCAGAGTCTTATTAAACGATCTTCACCCCCTAATTTTGTACTTTTAAATTTTGCCCCGTTTAAAATGATTAGCACTCAAATGCATGGTTATTTTAAACCTCGTCCTTCTTCCCCGATCGTGCAGAAAGTTTACATTATTTTAGAACCCGGAAGATTTGCAATACGTGCTGGATTCCAAGGCGGGTTACGCCACTGACTCGACAGTAATTTCAGTTTTGCCCGGGAAACTAAAGGATGCCTGGATTTCCGTGTTAACTAGATGGGATCATGATAAGGAAAATTATCTTGACCGTTTTGACGCATCAATGTATTTCTGGTTTTCAAAAACGTCCCCCGAATCTGAAGTGGTCGTGTACAATTACTGTTATCCTGCACGAGGCGTGGCGGAAGTAATCAAAATTATGGAGCCTGTCAGCCAATGTAATCCGCTTAA